TGCGGGAGCGGCCCTGGCTGATGAGCCCCGAGCAGGAGGGCGGCTGGGGCAGTGCCCCTGGCCTGGGGCTGTGGCAGGAGGAAAGGAGGTGTTCTGGATGGCACGGGTCAGTGCAGCAGGGGAACATTCTCCCTTCATGGATAGACACTGCCTGGTTGCCTGTACTTTCCTTCCGCAGTGGTCTGGGTGCAGCTGAGGTTTGTGGAATCTGGAGGATGTCTCCGAGCTCTTGCAGTGATCGTTTTCCTCTCCTGCCAGGATTATAGCCTCAGCTTCAGAGATTATTGTGTTTGCTGGTTCTGTCAGGCGTCTGGTGGCTGTCTCAAATTGCTCTCCTACATCAGCTCCAGCTCATTTAGTAGACTCCGTCCTAAGGCAGAGTGTCATGCCATGGCCTCCCAGGGTGGTTCCTGATTTGAGGAATCTCTGTCCCTGCACATCCTGCAGTCCCCTGACTCAGCCTGCCATTTCTGTGTTGCTCTCTTGGGAATGGGATATCCCACTGTGCTTTAACAGAAAACTCATTTTGATTAAAGCCAAGGCAGTAGGAACTGCTAGGCTGGAAAGAGCTGGAGCAGCTCTCTGCTGCTTTTGGGGAGTAATGGGATGTCACAGCACAATGCAGCTGGCCCGGTCTTTTAAGCAAGAGCTCCTGTGCTTTCACCACTCCTTTCACTGCAGTGGGTCTCAGGTGCTGCAAGCAAACGATTGTGTTCGGCATTTTTCTGATCATCAAACCAGCCTGGCCACTTGCCTGCAGCTTGTCTGGATCAGCTCTTAGTTCCCTTCTTCCCCTGAGTATTCAAAAACTCTTGGCTTCTTAACAGCAGCACTGCCTGCTTCCATCAGCAGCCATGGGCTATTCTTTCCAGGCCTGTGGACAAAGCAGTGGGTGAGTAGTTCTGATGTGGTTTCAGGTGCACTACTGAGAGATGAAATCCAAGCGAATAAGTCTGCAGTGACGGTACGAGCAGGTCAAACAGAGGCCCTGCAATGTTCCTACAACTCCAGCGCTTCTTATATTTACGTGGCCTGGTACCGGCAGCTTCCCAACAGGCCCCTGCAGTATTTGCTTCAGAGCAAGGGCCGGGGAGGCTCATACAACCATACGGCCCCTTTTGCCCGCCTGAGGTTTTCATCCCGGGCTGATGAGAACTCTGGGACCCTGGTCATCAGTGGGCTGGAGCTGGAAGACAGCGCACTCTATTTCTGCTCCCTGCTGGGACCACAGTGAGAGAGAGCCCTGGCTTACTCTGACAACATCCACACCGTTCACTGCTCCCCTCCCTCTTGCCTATTTGCAGCACAGCAAGAGCCGCGTGTTGACAGGGACAGGAGAAAAGAGGCAGGAGCTGCAGGGAGCAGCACAGGGATTCTAGATGGAGTTGAAAGGGGAAACATGAGGCGAAAGATTTCGACGGGGGTGGCGATCCTCATACCGTGGTAGTGGAAAGAGGCCAAGGAGGGATGTCAGTGCGGGGCTCAGGGAAGCACGTGCAAGCAGAGGCTGCGGACCGAGAGCCGTGCGTGGGGCAGGCGTGCTGTGTCCGGCCTCGGCCCGGGCCCGTCGCGCACGGAGGGCTGCGCGGGGATGAGCCCAGGGCCCGGAGCCTCCGAGTGCGGGGGCGCCGCGCTCCGCCTCTGCCCCCCGCGCTGCCCCGCGCCCCGCCCCGCGCCCGCCCCGTCCTCCGCCGAAGGGGCCGCGGTGGCACGGGGCCGGGCCGGGCGGGGAGGAGAGGAGAGGAGAGGCGAGGAGCGGTGGGCGCTGCCCCGCCAGGGCCCGCCGAGGGGCGGCCCGAGCGCGGCCCCGCTCTGCTGCCGTCCGCCTGCCGGGCAGACGGCGGCGGCGCGGCGGGGCGCGATGGCGGCCGGGCTGGGGCCGTGGCTGCTGGCCTTGGCCTTGGGGCCGGCAGGTGAGAGGCGGGCACGGAGGGCGGCGAGGCCGGGGCTGGGCGCGGCTCCTGCTGCTGCCCTGCGGGCGCGCTGAGGCCTGCAGCTCGCCTTCGGTGCCGGGGAGCGGCTGTGGTGCGTGGCAGAGGGAGGCTGTGTGGGGACGCGGATGCTGCGGGAGCGGCCCTGGCTGATGAGCCCCGAGCAGGAGGGCGGCTGGGGCAGTGCCCCTGGCCTGGGGCTGGGGCTGTGGCAGGGGAGAGGAGGTTCACAGCTCGGAGTTTATGGTCTACGGGTGTTAGAATGTCTGGGGAACGTCCTCCTTCCATGGATGTGCAATGCCTGGTTCCTGTTGCTGTCCTTCTGCAGGAGTGTGTGCACAGTTCAGACTCGAAGCATCTGGCGGAGGTGTGCAAGCACCTGGGGAGTCTGTGCAGCTCTCCTGCCAGGGATCCGGCTTCAATTTTGGAAGTTACGCTGTACTGTGGTACCGTCAGGCACTTGGTGGTCGTCTGGAGTGGCTGTCCTACATCTATGATGATTATATTATTAGATTAAGCCCTGAGTTGGAGGGTCGAGCCTCGGTTTCTCGTGAGGATTCCCAATCTGTGTCCTATCTGTCTCTCCGTGCCCTGCACCCACACGACTCAGCGCTCTACTTCTGTGCTGTTCACACGGGAACAGGAAATCCTGCAGAGCTGTAACAAAAAATCCCCTTCTTAGACACAGCCACTGCTGCTGGAACCACAGTGCTGGCAGGAACTGGAGCAGCTCTGGGCTGCTCCTGGACAGTGAGGAGACATCAGTGCACCCTACAGATGACCCTGTCCTTTCTGCCACGTCTCTCTGCCATCACTTCTCCTGAGTCACAAAAGCAGTGATGTGACCTGAGGATCATATTCACAATATTTCTGTTCACACTATCAGTTTGGCTACTTTTCCTGCCTCCTACCTGCAGCATGTCTGCACCTGATTTTGGTTTCCTTCTTCCATTGGGTACTCAAAAGCATTTGGGCATTTCTTGCTACAGCATTGCCTGCTTCCGTCACCCGTGTGGATGGCTTTTTCCATCTGTCTCTGTGATCAAAGCAGTGGGTGAATAAATCTGATGTGGTTTCTGGGACATTTCAGAGTGATGGAATCCAACAAATGCAGTCTGTAGCGTTGCAGCTAGCAGGGCAATCTGAGACCCTTCAAATTACATACGTCACTCTGCAAATCACAGAATCACAGAATCACAGAATCGTAGGGGTTGGAAGGGACCTCCAGAGATCATCAAGTCCAACCCCCCTGCCAAAGCAGGTTCCCTACAGCAGGTCGCACAAGTAGGTGTGCAGGCGGGTCTTGAATATCTCCAGAGAAGGAGACTCCACAACCTCCCTGGGCAGCTTGTTCCAGTGCTCTGTCACCCTCACCGTAAAGAAGTTCTTCGCACATTTGTGCGGAAAATGATGTCTCCCATGTGACTCCGAAGAAGCTTCAACAGCTAAAGATTGCTCAATAACACTATTTGATAGAACAGAATCACAGCTGCAGGATATTATCTTTTAACATAGTCAACACCATTAGCTATGCGTTTTCACCTGTGATAATGATTTCATGTTGGTAAATACCTGCACCATTGGAGGTGAACCACAGTTTCAGAGCTGTTATGCTGGCATTGTTCCCAGGAACTGTAGCCCACTGAATATACCTCTCATCAGCTGAACGGATGGCAGCCCAGAGGTGCAGTACACAAACTGTATCATGGTTGTGGCAGGACTGTTCAGCCAAAATTGTCAGTGTGCACCGTGGTCCTCATATTGGTATGGTGTGTGGTGTTATCATGTTGCAAGAGAATGGTTGCCTTCTCTGGCCTGACTGTGGAGGTTTGAGCCTTCAGCATTAGCACTGAGACTGAGCAGTCTGAGCTGATGGATTGTCCAGATTCTTGTAAATCCAGATGGATCTCTCCTTTCCCATCACAAAAGTCAGTGCGCATCACTTTATCTGCTGAGGGCTGTGTCTTGAACTTCTTCTTTGATAGGGAATTCTCATGTTACACTTCATGGACTCTGGCTCTTTTGACTCTATCTTATAGCTGTGACAATACATTTTGTCACTATTAATGATGTGATTTAGGAAACTGTCACCTTGAGCCTCGTATGGGTTCAGTTGTTCCTGACGAAGTTGCTTACACTCTTCTTTCTTTTCCAGTGTGAGCCTTCAAGTTTCCACCTGATGCATACTTTGCTCTATTCCAACACTGACATTGTTGTTTTCAACGCATAAAATCCAATACTCAGCTCTGTCACAGGTTCCTGTTTGTAATCCACTGATGCATACAGTTAAACTGATCCAGACACTCTTCATTTGGCTTGTCTTTCCTGTTGGTGTTGCCACTACTGTTGAAACACAAAACCCACTGCCTCACTGAGTTCACATTCATCTTTTGGTCTCCATAAATATTGAGGAGGTGTCAGTGAATGTCAAGGGTGCTATTCTTTCCACGTGGAGCAATTCAACATCACACCTTTGCCTCATATGCTCTTCTGTTTCTCACTCCATTCTCAGACTGCCCCTCTGCTACCATGTGTTATACAGCAACAAATTGTAATGGAATACTGGCGGGGGCTCAACATACACTGCCATAATGCCAACAACCTCCTCTGTCCTCACATGCCAAAGTAGTAAGATAGGTGGCATTACTTGTGGAACCGTCCTTGTACTTATAACTTCAATGTTTCCTATATTTATGTGGCCTGGTACCAGCAGTATTCTGGCAGGCTCCTGCAGTATTCCCTCCAGAGCATGGGTTGGGGAGGTTCCTAGAGCCACATGCCCTGTTTTTGCCCACCAGAGGCTTTCATGTGTCACTGTATGTCCCAGTTTGGTCAGAATCCATGACTAATGGTGCAGAGGAATCCATGGAGCCTTGCTCTGAGGTAACGGTTAGGGTGGTAAGAAAAAAAATTGGGTGATGGACATGAAAAGGAAACACAGGGAACGAGCTGAGGAAGTAAGGTAATTTAATAAATATGAGAGTGGAAAGTGAGATAACACAATAGAATACAATATATTGGAACTGAAGCTAATAAATCAAATAAATGAGAAAGAGAGCATCCAAAATTGAAGGCCTTCCTTTAATGCCGGAGGCGACATGGCTAGGGAGCACACACCGCAGAGATGCGCACTAAAAAGAAAGGGGCAATCTTGTGACTGCTGAGAAGTTTTATCTTTCCCTCTGACTGGAAAATGGGAATGGAACAGTGAAAGACTTGATGGAGATGCAGTTCTTCTCTTCTGAGAACAGGTACCCAGAAAAATCTACAATGCATGGAACTGGAGCATTGTCTTTAACTCCCAGTGTACTACGTGATGTTATGATAATAACGATATGTTATGCAATAACGATAACAAAAATCATAATACCATGCTATCGCTCCAGCCTGATGAGAGCCCTGTACCATGATCGTCACTGGGCTGGAATTGGAAGACAGCGCACTCTGTGTCTGCACCCTGCTGGGACCATGGTGAGAGCATCCCAGGTTACCCTGACAACATCTATTTCATCCAGTCCTCACCTTCTTCTTGCCTGTTTGCACCCCAGACCCCAGAGCTGGCGGTTGTGCAACGGATTGGAGGGGAGAGCACAGAGCTGTGGGGATGGGGATGAATATGGAAGTTTCCAGAATCTCTTTAAGTGAACAGTGGAGACCTGCCACAAGTGATTCACATTCACAAGTGATGATTGATTGATTGCCTGTACCTGCTGTATTTCTCTTTCATTATTATCAGCTGGTTCAAAGAGAAGGGTTAAGATCTCCCACTGGTCCAGTGCCATTGCAGTGCCCCTCCAGGATTGCTCTCACCCTTTCCTATTCTTGGGGAAATCACAGCTTGTTCTCAGCACTCTTGCAGCAGTCACTGGCTAGGTGGCTGGGGAGCAGCATGTCAGGAAACTGGCAGTGCACAGTGGTGGTAAAGTCATCTTCCAGTGCAACATGAGAGGAAACAGCTTGTACACATAGCACAAGTTCTAGCATGGTCCTAGCAGAGGCCACATGGACTTATTGGAGGGTGAGGAATACAGAAGTTTCACTTTCCTGGAACAGCAGAGAGCTCCCACAACAGATTCCTACTGCAGATCCAAGCAGCAAAGAGAGGGGATGATGCAGTGTTTCACTGCGGTGCTTGGTTCACACTGCAGCAGTGGACCAAGAAGCAATGACAGAGAATCCTGAATTGTCAGTGTTCCTTTGTAGCAGACACTAATCAGATGGTGTCATGCAGGTGCAGAAAGCAGGGCTTTCCCAAGCATGTATTCTTATCCAGTTGTTTTGGCAGTGGGTGGCGTCAGCACAAAACTCACAAACACCGAATGTGAGGTTCTTTTACCTTTACTTAAGTTTAAAGCAATGAGATAATAAGAGAAACGATACAGAAAGAATAAAACAGAGGAGGGTTATGCACCTAACCGTTACTACATGAGATTAGCTGTAGTGGGAAGGAAGATACACCACCAGTTGCCCTAGCGCTTGGCTGTTATCCATATCCACCATCTCTGGGGATCCCTGGTTGCAGTGAGGATTAGGAGAGCCTTTCCCAGTAACTGGAAAGTCCTGCGCAGTGCAACCACACATAGGTGAGTTCTCAACTTTGCTACAAGGGTATCCAGACACTGCATTGTTGAATAAACAAGTCTATGTGACAATTAGGCAGAAACATCTGGCTTTGTTCTCCCTTTTGGATTCCACCCCCAGCCTGGCGAGGGCTCAAGGAGGAACCAAGGAATTTTGTCTACTAGTAGGCAGTGACACTATCCTTGTAAGCAAGAAAAAGTTAATACATTCTCATAACACTTTATCTATGCCATATCTCTTGCTAATGAGATATTTTGTCCAGGATATGTATTTCACTAACGATCATAAATATTTTGCTAATGATTGGATACTGCTGATATACAACACAGGGTTGTGAGATCCGGTCAGCTTTGAAAGAAGGCTCGCTGTTCAGGCCATAGTACTTCACAAGTGGAAGAAGGGATAGCTCAAGGGCTGAGAAACTATATGATGCAAAAGGAGGTATTCTGGGAACCTCAGATGCTGCGTGGTGAACCGTAAGCTAGTGCACGTTAACTGGGCCTCCGATTTGGCAAGGCCCAGTTTTACCTCCATGGCCTGGTTGCAAAGGCACTTGATCATGGAGGTTTGGTGGGATAACTTGAAGCAGTGTTGTAGGAGATGGATCAGAAGAAGGATGTGAATCAGAAGAAGTGTAGCCAGGAGGTCAAATAAGGTGATTCCAACCATTTATTCTGCTGTTATGAAACCGCACCTGGAATACTGCATTTGATTCTGGTCACAAAGGAATAAGAATGACATTGGCCTGCTGGAGCGGGTCCAAAGAAGAGCCACAGAGATGATCAGAGGAGATGCAGCAGCTCTCGTATTGTCATGTGAGATCAAGGAAGAAAACTTTACAACAAGGTGTTAGAGAGCCAACACTCCCTTATTCCTCACGATACATACTGGTGACTTGATAAATCAAGCACCTGCTCTGAGAGTTCCAGTGCTACATTTAAACAGTTAAGATATACATACACAGTACATTGGCATACATATTCATTCTGTCCCAAGAACTCATTAATATATGCTACTGACATGAGGTAAGCAATGAGTCAGTCACAGGAGCACAGGTGAAGGTAATTCACCTGTGCTAGCAGAAGGGATGAAGCCTGGCTCCACCTCTCCTAGATCCCATTTAAGTACTGACTGCCACTGAGGAAGGATCTCTCCCTAGAGATCCCTCCTTGTGGAGAATATTGTGAGCCTGCAACATTGGTAACATTTTCCATTTATTATCTTCCTGTTGCAATAATCTTTCTTAGCCTAACTTTCCTGGATATTTCTTAATTATAACATCTGTATATTCATTGATTATACAACAGCTAGTTATCCTCCTTTCATGGTTAGTATATCTTTGCTAAGTCCCTGAAAGTAGCCTGCCATGCAACACAGGGGGATGTTTCCCATAATGAGTAGGGGACTCCATTTTTCAATTATAACCGCTAGTTCATAACAGGAGGATCCCACAAATCCTGGGATCTGTCCCAGAGTCATTTTATCTGGTGGGGTAACGTTCTCGCCCCTGATCCATTTATAGAAATTCCATAGAAAGGACATGATGTAAACTTGAGTATATTTGGCCTGCCTGGTTTGCCAAGTGTATAATCAGTGAACATACAGAAGTTCTAATTAAAGAATATATAAGAAAGTTAGGCTAAACCAGTT